CCCAACAAAAGAAATCCTAACAATCAAAGAAACAACCAAAAAAATAAATTAAAAAATCCCAACCAACGAAAGAAAGAAAGAAAGAAACAAACAACAAAAAAAGCTCCACAAAAGAAAACCCGCGCAAAGAACCTGACAACAAACCAGCAGACTAAGTATTTGAAAAGAATAAAGTATCTTAAAACCAAGAGGGTAGTTCTCATTCACCCTGACCATTCTTTTTAATATTGTTTTCTTCGTTCAGTTGTTTCTTTTCTTATAGAAATCTAAATGACTCAGCTGTGTTTTGTTGACGTAAAATGTAGGCCTCTATCAATAAATTCTAGGAAAAAAAGAAGGAAAGCTTGTTTAAGCCCGAGCATTATGTTTAAGAGCTAGATTGGGGAAACCAATTGATTATCAAGTGGTGAACAAACAGTATATCTAAAGCTTATTTTCTGTATTGACATTTTGCTTTCCTTTTCATGAAGTACCTTGCGCATTCGATCGTCGTGATCCTAATTCCTTGACGCTACTTTTCTTAAGCTTTAATCCATTGTAAAGACTAACATTAGTCACGTTTTTTTGGTATTGTTTCAACTCAAACAAAACGTGAATGGTCAAGATAAAAGCATCCTTTCTTTGAATTACTTCTATGTATTCTTGGTGGGCAAAAAACGCCACAATGAAGGCCAGTTGTCACACGCTAATGTCCACTAGACACTGTGACATCATGTGTCACTAAACCAACATGCTTGATCAACTTGGCTGTAAGGTTGTGCTCCAACCTTAAGCTTTCATGAGACACATTCGTAGCTTTTTAACAGGATATAGTTCTGACAACGAATTTGAACTAGTTGCACATTTTCGTGCCTATCAAAATATGCATACACTTATAAGATTAGGTTTTAAAATCATACTATGAAATGCTGTTTTGACTTGGACAAAACAACAGCCACAACATAAACAGATGCAGCAGAAGTATCAGCAGCAGCAACAGAAGCAAAGTAGCACCACCACCAGCAGCAGCAGCAAAAGCAAAAGTAGCAGCAACTGAAGCAGCAGTGGCAGCAACAGCAAAAGTTGCAGCAACTGAAGCAGCAGTGGCAGCAACAGCAAAAGTTGCAGCAACTGAAGCAGCAGCACCACCGCCACCTCCGTCACCACCACCAGGAGCAGCAGCAACACGGTTACTATCAACAAAAAAAAACGGCACAACAACTACACAAACAAAAGTAACAGACGAAGGGGAACTTATCTGACTGTATTCTACTACTCGGATCAAGTACTTCTAAAAAAGCCAGACAAACCTCTCTTGTCTTGTAGCCATGTGATGTCAGTCCACTGAATTACAACAATTTCATGAAAATAAAAATGTTTTGAAACTATTGGACAAAAAGTAAAGTAAAAGCTAGTTCATGGCATTCTTTAGTAAGCGTATTACAACACTTGCAACACAATTAGGGCATAGAAGTGCCGAAGATTAGATGTGTTACAAGATAGTAACAAACACACAAAAGAAGGAGAAGAGATAAGGACGATATACATTTGATAGGAAAGAAGGAGCAACCCACAGCAGAGCCCCCACCAATCACCCACATATTGGACTCTGATAAGGTGACATTTGAGCATCTGTCTTCTACACGTCCTGTTTCTTTTACCTTGAACTGTAATTGAGAGCACGTTGAATAACAACAGGTAACACTTCTCTACGTCCTCGTGCATGTTCCCGTCAAGTTTGCTTAAACCTGTTCTAACCGAAGTTCTTGCCCCAGACCTCTCGCCAGACGAGAGGACGGAGGCGTGACATGGCCAAGGTCCTTGTGTCAGAGCGCTCCCGGCTCTCGATTCTTGACTGGAAAGACAACCGACATAAAAACTACCACTGGAACGACGCGACGCTGAAAAAACGAAACAGACCAGCGACTGATGAAACAAAGCGAAAAAAAAAAGTTACATAAAGAGCATCCGGTTTTCTTGTATCATCATTTTGATACACACAGCTAGTTTGTTTCTAAAAAATATCCGCATATAAGAGCAAGGCCAGAAACATTTAACAATAGAACCTCGAGCATGTATAACAACAAATATTTCTTTAATTCATGAACATGCACTCCCCCCAAACCCCCCCCCCAAACAAACAATAACAACAACAACAACAACAAACAAACAAACTCACCCAAATACAAAAAACCCAAACAACAACAACTAAACAAAAACCAGAAAAACCCCAACCCCCCCAAAAAAGCAACCCAGCAACATAAAAATAAAAACAAACACCCCCCCCAAAACCCCCCCAACAACAACACGCAACAAAACAAACAAAACAAACTAACAAAAACAACCCCCCCCCCGGTTTAAGGAATGTGTGCCCCTTGTCCACCCCACTCCAAACATTCCCCATTTTAAAATCGTTAACATAAACCAGAATTTTCCTTTAAAAAAAAAGACTTTCTAGCTTTGTTCGTTTTTCCCGATTTCTTATCTATTTTGTAAGGTGAGTTGCCCAAATCTACCCCGCCCCCCAAACCATAATAGAACAAACTGAGCACAAAAGAACCGATTTATTCTTCCGACTGCAGACAGGGAATGGTACTCATCATCATCATCATCATCATCATCATCATCATCATCATCATCATCATCATCATCATCATCATCATCATCATCATCATCAACAGCAACAGCAGCAACAACAACAGAAACAACATCTGAAACAACAGAATCGGCAGCAGCAACAAGAAACCAATGCATCTCTGCAACACAAGTTCTAAAACCAACTACCATTCAATATCAAGTAGCTGACTGATTTCTCTCTTCTAACCACCCCCTCTTTCCCATTCCTGTTTTAGTACTTTCCTACATTTAACTATTCAGAGCACTGGCACGAGTTTAAAAAATCAAACCAAATCAATTTTCATAATGGTTGTTTGCACAAAAGCAGATTTAGTATGGGCAAAATGCTTCCCGGGCGTACCGAAATGTCTCTATAGACATTAGAAATCCAGAGCACGAACAAGAACAGATTCAATGAGCAAATTAATCAGCGAGAAATTGAACGTGGACTTTTCAATACAACGCTGATAAGTTGTTTTTGTTTACTCTTGGGACTATAATTGCAAGATTTTTAAAACTCTTTCTGTGCCGAACACCGATTCTTCTGTGCCGTTCTGAACACCCTTTAATTAATCGCTGATAGCTCGTGGCACATAAAGAGTTAGATCTCAATCGATCTGTTTGAGATTATTAAGGCGGCAAGCTATTGGGACACTGACTGTCAAGATCAAAACGATCAAAGTGGGAGGGAGAACCCCAACAGAACACACGCCTGGTAATTAGAAAATAAACAAACAAATCAACCCCCCCCCCAACCCACTTCATGTCCAGGGGATCGAACTCTCATCATCTTTAATGTAAAAGTGAAAACTCCAAGCACTTCCCCACAGAGACCCGTGCTTAGGATTTTTTATATTCTTCTCTTCACATAGAGACTTAATTAACGGGGTGAAAATCTACGGCTTACTCATCTTCTATTATCGAACCAAACTTTTAAAGTGTTTCTCCTTATAGAAATCTGAAGTATGACTTAAAGAGCAGGCTTATATTTAAGTCTCTAAAGGCTCTATAACAAAAGTTAAATCCAAGATCAGCGACAATAGTGTGATTCTTTTGCTGTCGCACGTAGAAAATGTGAGTTTGATTCTCGAGTAAGGACGTTTCTTTTTAATCGAGTAGCTCTGTATTTCTGCAGGAAGGTTGTACCGTCTCTTAGATTACCCTAAAATGTGTCGATTAGGGTGTAATACATTTCCAATAAAATAGTCTTAAAATTCAGAACCAAGATGAAATAGTAAGGGCATACATAATAAATAATTTAAATCAAGAACTGTTCCTTTCTTACTTGTCTTAATTGTCTTATTTGTCTACTGTGTTGGGGTCACCTCAGTCGGAACATGTCCATCTCTGCTCCCCCTCCCCCTCTTCAGGATCCACCCTAGTGTTCCTTTCTACTTCATTCTAATGATCTTTTCATGACACACACGTAAAAATATGATCGCTCTGGATGGTTTAAGCAGTGCAAAGTCAAAATCGTAAGAATATTCAGAGTCGTTATCAAGATATTCAAAGCATTGCTTTCGAAAAAGCTTGACATATTGTGAAAAAGTTACAAAATTTCTTAAAACTAGATCTAGGTATTGAGTAGATATAACTTTGTAATTCTGAGGTAGCGAAATGTTTCGAGGTGCGAACGGTGCATTAACTAAACAAAAAGCTTGTTTCAAGGTGAGGAAGGTGCATTAACTAAACAAATAGCTCCATTTGGACTAGCGTATGGAAATCTTGGACGGAATCCACCAAAATCGCTACGTTTAAACTCTATGTGTAGGCCAACATAATAACTGACTGTTGCATTAGACGGAACTACTGTTGGTGTGCAACAACAGGACCCTCATGGTCCGAAGGTCGGTATTGACTCCAAGCGGAGACCACTCTCTCGAGCAACCTGCTGCTAAGCTGCGATGGACTGCGTCACTGTCAACAGAACTGGGGGCGCCAGTAAATATTGCTGGGGACCTTTAGCAAACACCAGAAGTTGACCTTTAGCCCTGAGGTCAAGAGAGATCCGCTCTTCTGAGCTGGCCAAAGCCTACGCGATGTCTTTGATCATGTTACGCTGGGAGAGAGGGTCGTTTAGTTCAGAGCTATGGTTTGCAGAGGGATTAAAGAGATGACATTTAATATTTTGAAAGGCTGGTCACCTGAACAAATAGTAAATATTCAGTTTCACATAATGATATGAAGATTACAGGGGAAAACTGGTGATATCCAAACCGTGGCCCTTTTCTTCAAATCCCCATTTTGCAGCATAAAGATGTCATACAAAGACGAAGCCTGTCTAAAATATAAAACAATAAATGCATATTTCAACAGTACGCGATAGAAACCTACACATTAAAAACAGGAAGTCTCTGGATTCAAATTTTCAGTGGAAAAGTGACATTCCAAGTGCTCGCAAGTAGTTTTAATATGGTAATACAAGATCTGAATCTGCATTGTGCCAGTACGGTAGCCCTGGATAGAGTAAATTATGTTATAGTTACGCATTCAGTTGAAATGTATAGCCTAACCTTGTTAGCACAACGAAAATTATCCTTGTCCCTCCCTCCGCTCCAACCCATCTCCCTCTCTCTTTTCTCACTACTGTAAAGGTTCTGATAGACCAATGTTCTGACACCCTTTTCTAGGATGATGTGTGTTTGTTTTGGCTGGAATAATTGTCGTGACTCGGTTGGAAGCGTCGTTCCTGTAAGGACGTAAAATGATATGAGTGTTTATGTACGAAATGTATGTATGAATGTGTGTGTGTGTGTGTGTGTGTGTGTGTGTGTGTGTGTGTGTGTGTGTGTGTGTGTGTGTGTGTTTATATGTGGTGGAACAGTGTGGGCTCGATCTAGACTGCATGGACTTTAGAGCCACCCTGCTCAAACCATTAACACTGTCTGTCAGTTCCGAAGAAGTGTTCTAAATATTTCCAGAATTTGGAAAGCCTTATTTCCCAAGTACTGATCAGCTGTGACAGTGCCAGTGTGACCACATCCTCGTCCACAAACCAAAAGTATCCAGCAATACCCTAGTGAATCATTGTTATCCATACCGTGGCTGTCAGTATATGGAGATTTCTCTCTGCAACAACACAAGACATTGGTCAACCCCAAATAACGCAGTTAAGTGGGTGGGTGGGTGGGGGGGGGGGGGGTGGTGGTGAGCTACACCCCCAAAGTCCTGATTCTGCTCAAAATTATGGAATTTGAGTTGTAGGCATTTTTAGCTTCCTCAGCCTCTCCTACAACTATTTCATAGCATAAGAGCCCCCCCCCCCCCAAAACCGTTTTTTCCCATGCCGGGTATGTTTGTCACCACCATCTCCTCGTAAAGTCAATATTTTATTTTTCTTTATTGGCCGTTTTCTCAAAACGCTACTTTTCTCTATACTCTTTTGAATAAATCCACCATTTTTCATCCAATCTTCATGCAATTTTTATAGAATGAAGAGAAGATGTAATACTAAAAATTTATTTGTTGAATTTTTGTTGGTGATGTCTGGAGTGTTATTTTTCACTGATTTTTTGCACCCTCACCCTCTCTAAGCATTAGGTGCTGATACGCGTTGGTGTGTCTGAATGTGGTATGCTTTTAGTCCTTAATCAGGTTTCAGAATTCTGTAATCTTAGGTCTGGGAGGTTTTTAATGAGGGATTTGACGCTTAACTGACTTTTCCGGTGCTCTCTACACACAGAATCTTCCACGTGCGCTACAGTTTCATCTGTACGGCACTGAGAGGGCGACCCTAATGTGTTTGCCTCTATGAAGACCTCTGATGGTAGTTCTCTTGAGAACCACAACTAGAAAACAAACATGTCATCCTACAGCGCTATTGACCTCTCATGTAGAATGTTACCGTTCGTTCCCGTACGGTCGAGCAAACCCAAAGGAACACAGAATGAGGCTGTTTTTTGCCTTTTATATATATGAAAGGACTTAATAGTGAATGTCCGTTAAGTTCGGCTCCACATTATAGCAACCGTTGAACGTAGGATCAAAATGATTACCTTGCGCACGTAGTTCATTGGAGCTCTGTTTAATTATGATGCACATTTTTTTTCTTGTAGACATGTTTTTAAAAAACAGATAATATACATATAGGTCCCCTCACAAAATGGTTTTCCTTTTTTCCTTTCTTCGTCCTCTGTCGTATTTTCTCTTGAAACTACAAAGTATTCCTCTTCCTCCGCAAGGAAAGGCTACAAATACAAATGCAGTATTACTGTCTTGTATAAAATCTGATTTCCAATTTTTTTGGAGTTTTTGTCAAAGCTGTAAAGGCTTGTAAAATCTTCCATCTGACCCATAATATTATCACGTACATGCCCGTAGTCTGTAGAATTTTTAGTTTCATTTTGTACAGACTCCCGTTTCTGTGACTGGGTTTCATTCCTTTCAAAGTGATTTAATGCAGTTCATACGAGATATCACTGGGCTCGCGTTGAAACAACATGATAACTACATAACCCACTCCATTCTCAAACCCCTTCTTCTCAAACCACCCTCGTATCCACTCCACCGCCTTCCCCTCCCGCTCTTTGTACTTTCCCCCACTTTTAAAATGCGTTTTCTCCAAATAGTTACCCTTTATTACTTTCGTCTCTACCTCTCCTCCCTTCTCTACACACCCCAAAACCTTGGCAGTTATTTGATCTTATAGTGTTGCAAGTGCCATAAAAACGCGTACTTAAAAAGCACCCCCCTGCAAAAAAACAAAACAAAACAACCCCCCCCCCCAAAAAAAAACACACAAAAAAACCCCCACCACCAACAACAGACAAAACCAAACAACAAAAATAACCCCCCCCCCAACCCAACCCCCCAAAAAAACAAACCCCCCCCCACCAAAAACCCCAAAATATTTTTACCCCCTTAAAAAAAATCACACCACATTTCTATCAACCTACAGGTCACCCATGTCTGTCAACCCCCGGGGCCTTCTTGCCCCATCCGGACACCTGCCACTGGTACTACAACTGCAGCTTGGCCAATCTGGAGAACGTCCCGACCCAGGCCACTGCCCACTACTCCGATGACGACATTGACTACACTAGAGAAGGTTTCTACAGGATGGAGCCTTTCCGAGTCGTGGACGCCGGCGTTTTCGTCTGGGAATGCCGGTATCCGCAGCTTTTCGATGACGTCACGATGAGGTGCCGAGAGTTCATCAACGTGGACTGCAAGTCTCGTTTTGAAGCGGTGGACCAGTGTGAGTATTTTATTTGTGTTTTAGATGTTATCCCTTACACCCAAGGTGCATTTCAACTAAAAACAAAATCATATTATTTATGCAACTGTGGTTCAGCTTTTTCGCTCACTGGAAACAGGGAAGTAACAAGGAATCAATGTATTAATCGTTGCTTTTGTAACCAGTGCAAAATTTTAATTGTAAAATGGCCAAATACGTAAAGTAAATGACTGTATTCTAACAACCAAACTGAATAGTTTTCCCTGTGGACTTTATGTTGTCAGCTTGAAGAACATACAGTGCCGTAGACAGAAATCTAAGTGGGCGACAACTTTTTCTTGTTTTTTCCCTGAACATTTTATCTCATCGAAGTACGAGTATTATGTCGGAGGGTAAGGATGGGGGAAGGGTGGAGACAGTGCTTCACATTTGAAACAACTGGGAAGTTTATCTGAAACAATACCCCCCCCCCATCCCTCCGCTTAGAAAAAAATATTCAGAAAACGAAAACGAGTTCAAACACCAAACCACAGACCCTTTTGTTATGGCTACCGAATTCTCACTCGATGGTTTCACAATACTGTTACCAAGACTTTTTGCGAAAGGTGACGGATTTGCTATTTCTATCTCTCCAAAAGCTCGTTTATATTTGTCATACTTCACATGCCCCACACGCTGAATCGGAAAATCAACAGGCTTGACTGTTGGAAAAAGGGTCACTTTGGTGCTCTGAAAATAGAGTACGTGTAAACATGTTCGAGTTGTGAACGTATAGCCTTAAGAAATAAAGTTTGGAATTCTCTTATGGTATCTCTGACTCGTCCCAAATGTTTCTGTTCCACTGTCTTATAAAAATAAATACGAGTTCTGATGCTGCGTAGAGAGGGCAGACATCGGAGGAAGGGGTTTTACAGTAAGAGATAGGCTTACAAACCCCTGAAGATCAAGTATCTCTCAATGATTTCAGGACATTCTGCCTGAAGCGAAAGGGGGGGGGGTGTAGTTGGGGGAGAAGATAGGATGAGGAGTTGAGAAACACATGATAGCTTTGTATAATAAGTACAGAGTATGTCAAGTTTACACTATATTATTTACACTTACTGTTATGAATCTGTATTTATCTTTTCTTCTTCAAAAGATCATGCAAATGATGAACATTTTAATACTTTTTAAAAACTCATTGTTCATCAAATATCCCCTCCCGCCCTGTAAAACAATGATGCAAACAAATCATAAACAGAAGAAAGGGAAAGGAAAAATCTTTACTGTGAATGAAAATAAAGAACATTAATGATACAGCGAGAAATATGGATTAGGTGTAGCGAGACAAGCTGGCGAGGTGTGCTTATATGAGTTTTTTCTGAATACTGATATTTTGTAAAACTAATTCGTCAGTTGATAAACATCCGAAAATACTAGGCTTTGCACTGTTTTTACAGGTATATGCTAAAGGCATCAACATTGTAATGCAATAAGTAATAGAGAGTTTACAACTTCTAAACACCTGTAGGTGTCTCTTATACCCTTTGTTAATTCATACTCAGACAGTTTTATCTCCAGTTACTCAGTAAATAAAACGTCATTTTATATAATTTAAGAGCCAATCTTTGTTGGCGGTTTGAGGGCGTCACCAGCAGGTTCTACTTCAACACTTTTCCATTGTTGTTACTGTCTGTATGTCTTACTTTTCCCCAGCACTATAATGACCATTGTGTCGTTGCGCTTCTCTTTACTTAAACAAAAAAGAACTTGCTTCCACCCAAGCTTGTCAGGGCGATCCCATGTTTAATAAGATACAAAGTTCCAGTCTACAGACTGAGAAATTCGACATGAAAATGTCACAACACTGGAATCGAACTAACGGCTCTAAAGTATTACACCTCAGACGTGAGTGTGAATGCAGTTTTACACAATTTTCCAGAGGAGAAAAGCGGCCAATAATCTTCTGATATATTTAATTGAAAGGGTCAGAAAACGATAAGGTTTATGTCACCTTGAGGTCATTTCTAAAAAAACCCCAGCTTTACTTCAACATGATATGCTATCAAGTTTGAGTAATTTGTAAGGACCACAAGTTCGATTTGATGTTATCCAGTCATTTCATTCAAATCAAATGATTATTATGTTGTGAGTCTTTCATGACGTCTGTCATCATATCAAGAACTCTTGTTGGCAAAATGTGACTTACACCCTTTATTATTTGTCTTACGTCTTGAACTCTGATCTTTCTTTCATCCTAAGGTGAGTACTCTCAGCGCCAGTGTGTGGGCGGCCACTGCATGCCGTGTGAGCGCCGTTTCGGCTACTGTCGTGAAAGACCTGACGGCGTCTACCCTTTGCACGAACTGCGTTGGACTCCAGTCTTTCTGACCTGCTACAGGGAGAGAAACATCGCACAGGACGAGTGTGCCCCACCCACGCCCATCTTCTCCCCAGAAAGGCTGGACTGCGTGTCTTTGTTCGAGGTAGTTTATCATTCTAACTTTGTGTGGTAGCGTTGGCAGTGTAGTGGTTACCTGAATCGTAACCATAGGGTTGCGAGTTCAAGGTTTCGAGGCTCTGTTTAGTCCACTGTTGTGTCTCTGGGAAAGGCACTTTACACAAATTTGACATTTGGCGTTAAACCTATACAGTTTCGCACATTTCCCCTTTCAGGTGACGCATTGTAAAGCATAGGCTCTTCTTCTGGCAAATTCATACCTTTTTCCAGGCTGGACAATCTACGATAAAGTATGTTCCCGCTAAGAAAGAATCACGTGAATTGGGAGTTTCTCAATCTACTCACATTCAAGAACACTCCGTCGGGGATTCGAATAATGATACTATTGGCTTGGCAAGCAGCATACCTTCCTTTGTTTTTAAATACTAATAGTTTTCTTTGTCTAATCGAAGAGAAGAAATCTTACTCCAATTTCGGCACAATTTTGAGTCTGCAAAATAAATGTCCATTTCTGATAGGACATAATGGAGAATCTCTTCAGACAATATTAACGAATAGATGGATCCAAACACGGGCCGCTCGAAGTTTTTCCTTTCTCAACTACTTGGGGACAAGCCACGCCATATAGAAGAGACCCTGTCTTGGTTAACCCAACTGTGATACCGTGTGGGTTGTGAAAGAGAAAGGGAGAATCGGAAAGACAGAAATAACAGTCAATGGCGATTTCCTGCCAATTTCTTCTCCAGTGTCCACACCACCCCCGCTCCTCCACAAACCCTTCTCAGTAGAATAGTACATTTCGACGTAATGCCTTCATGATGCAGACTATTTTTTAGGATGCCTACTTTCCACAAGCCATTTTTCGTTTATCACTATTTCTTATCCATCTCTCTCCCCCCCTTTACAACCATGTCTGTCTGTCTGTCTGTCTGTCTGTCTGTCTGTCTGTCTGTCTGTCTGTCTGTCTGTCTGTCTGTCTTTCTCTTCCTCAAGGGCGAGTGATGGTTGAT